GAAGAATTTTCTGACCTTCCCCTGAAGCAAATCATAGGACCCTCATCTGAGAGGTAACCTCTCTATAGCTACAGGAAAGGAACATCCTTCTCTCTGAAGATAAAGGGTCATAGAGAAGAATCTGAATAAAAAGGCCTTGCTAAGTTCTCTCCAGTTTATTACCATTAGATCATACCCTTTTTGTTTTATCATATTTCTCCATGACTGTCCACTCTTCATCAATCTAGCATAAAAGTACATATGTTTAACCATTTCTTTGGGTCTTCATTTTCTTATGAAATCTCCTGGATCATGTAAAACTTACATTAAATAAATGTGAATGCTTCTCTTTTGTTAATCTGTCTTTTGTTTTAGGGACCTCAGCCATAATCCTAGGATGAGTAGAAAAAAAGATATCTTTCCTCCCCTACACAGTTCTACAAACAGCTTTTTCTATTTTAATAATTCTAGCAGACGTACAATAAAATCTAGGGGCTTTATGCATCTCAAGAGATATTCCCATTAAGTCTCCCTCACACCAGCAAGATCCTTGTGAAAGGCTCTTTTACCTCTTGTGTACTCTTGTTTTGGGGCAGCAGTCTTGTTTCCACATCATAAGTCATTTTGCATAAGTGGTCTAACTACTTTTGATGATTCTTTATTTCAGATCCTTTTTTTGTCTCTGCCAACAGATTTGACAGTTTCAGAGTAACCTTGTTCTTTTGCAAAGACTTAAACTTTAGTTCCTGATTATTCCCATTCCCATAAGATACAGGTCATCACCCTCCACCCATTTCTCTTTCCAGCCTTTTTTCACAAGACCCTAACATAGGCCAAAACCCCAGGCCTATTTCCTGCCCAAGAAGGGAGTTGGAATGTTTCAATTCTGCTTGGCTCTACTTTTTGTTTTCTTTTTTAAAATTTCTGCATCTTGCTAGGTTATTTATTGTTTTCTCAAGTCTTGGTATATGGTGAAGAATTTATTTCCTGGTTTTGTTTTCATCTTAAATCTATTAAACAGCATATTACATAATGAACAGAATAGTTGTACCCTGAGTCCTCTTTCTCTCTCTTTTTTCTTTCACAGGAGTGTATGTGACATCAACCTCTTTGGATCTCAGTTTTATAATCTGTCACTTACAAAGAATAATAACTAACTCATATGGCTGTTGTGAATTTCAGAGTATGTGTTTTTACTCTCTGAACGGAAGGTGTCTGACTGAGGTGCTTTCTGCATAAAATAGTATAGCAGAGTGGCAAACAACACAGAGAGCTGCACTGCCTAATACAATAGTCACTAGCCATATGGGGATATTGAGCACTTAAAATAAAGCTAGTTCAAATTGAGATATTCTTTAAATTATAATCAATGTAATAAACCAGTGTTAATGTTTACATATTAACAGACTAAAAGAAGAAAAACTGTATGATATTCTTTCCATACATGCTGAAAAATCATATAACAAAGTCCAACATCCATTGCAGATTGAAAATAAATCTTAGCAAATTAAGAATAAAAGAGAACTTTCTCAACCTGATAAAGAGCATTTACCTAAAACATAAAGATATCATACTGACTGGTAACAGATTGAATGCTTTTTCCCTAAGAACAAGGCAAGAATATCCAATTTCATCCATTTTTTTTGACATTATACTAAGGGTTCTAGCTAGTGCAATAAGGCAAGAAAAGAAATAAAAACATTCAAATTGTAAAGGAAGTAGTAAAACTGTCTTTCTGGGGCTGACCCGTGGCTCACTCGGGAGAGTGCGGTGCTGATAACACCAAGGCCCCGGGTTCGGATCCCATATAGGGATGGCCGGTTCGCTCACTGGCTGAGCGTGGTGCTGACAACACCAAGTCAAGGGTTAAGATCCCCTTACCGGTCATCTTTAAAAAAATAAATAAATAAATAAAATAAAATAAAACTGTCTTTCTGCTCAGACAACATGATCGTCCAAACAGAAAATCATTTGGAATTGGAAAACAAAAACAAAAAGCTACCAGAACTAAAACATAAGTTTGGCAAGGTACCAGGATACAGGATTAATATACAAAAATCAATTGTATTTCTTCATACTATAAATAAACAATCAGAAATTGAAATAAAAAATCCAATTACAATAGCATTGAAAAATATCAAATACTGACAAAAGATATGCAAGACTTGTTCACTAAACAACTACAAAACATTGCTAAAAAAACTAAGAAGATTTAAATATATGGTGAGATATACCATATTCATGAATCAGAAGATATAATATTGATAGGATATCAATTTTCAAATCAATTTATAGATCCAGTGTGCCTTGGGTTGAATGTCCCCCAAAACTTAGTTCCCACTGTAACTGTTGAGGGTGGGAGATCCTATTATGGTAATTGAAAAGTGGGGCCTTGAAGAGGTGATTAGGTTGTAGGACCATGCCATAATGAATGGATTAAAAATGGTGGTCATAGGTATAGTTTGGAGGGCTTTAAAAAGAGATTGAATGAGGAGGTTAGTCTCTTTTTCTCTCTCTGCTCTCTTGCTGGTCCACTACTTGCAATGTATATCCTGCATCACTGTTGCCACCACCAAGACCATCACCAGATTTGTTCCTTGCACTGTGGACTTCCCAGCCTCTAAAACTGTAATAAATTTTATTTTCCTATAAATTACCCAGTAACATGTATTTTGTTCTAAGCAACAGAAACAGACTAATACACAGTGTAACCCAATCAAAATCCAAGTAAGCCTTTTTGTTGTAATTGGCAACAAAATACATATGAAAATGAAAATAACCTAGATGAGCCAAAATGCCTCTGAAAAAGAGCAAAGTTGGAGAACTTACACTACCGGACTTGAAGATTTCTTATAGCACCATAGAAATCAAGATAATGTGATGTTAGCATCAATATAGGCAAATAGATCAATGAAATAGAATAGAATGACTAGAATTAAACCCACACATATACAGTCATTTGATTGTCAACAAAGTGGCAGATACAAGTCAGTGGAGATAAGATACTTGTTTTAACAGTTAGAACTAGAAAAATTGGATATCCATTTGCAAAAACAAAACAAAACCAAACTTTAACCCATACTTGGTGCTATATATAAAAATTAAAATGGAACCTAAATTTAAACCTAAAACTAGAAGAAAACATAGGAAAAATCTTGTAACCTTGGGTTATACAAAGAGTTCTTACATATGACATCAACAATCTGTAAAAAAAAAAAAAAAGATAAATTTGATTTCATTAAAGATTTTTAAACTTTTTATCTTCAAAAAATGCTGAAGGTATAAGGAATGAAAAGATTAGACACAAACTGGAAGAATACATTTGCCAATCACATATATGACAAAGGACTTGCCAGAAAATATAAAAAATTCTCAAAATTCAATAATAACAAAACACCCAGTAAAAAAATAGGTGAAAAAAAATGGTTTTCTGGATTAGGGAAATCTGTAGAGATGGAAAATAGATCCGTGGTTGCCTAGGTCTGGAGTGGGGTGGTGGTGGTAACTGTGGGGTGATGGTTAAGGGGAGTGAGGTTTCTTTTGAGAGTAATGAAAATATTCTAAAATAAATTGTGGTGATGAATACACAACTGTGAACATACTAAAAGCCATCAAATTGTATACTTAAGTAAATAAAATATAGGGCTGGTTGATTGCTCAGTTGGTTAGAATGTCCAGCCTTATAACACCAAGATTACAGGTTCAGATCCCTGTACCAGCCAGCTGCCAAAATACAACAAAATAAGTAAAAAATAAAAGGTTATCGGGACATGTTAACTTTTTCCAATACCTTCCTGTTATTTTACCCCATCTTTTTTGGGAATTTAAATCATTTCTTGTGGTCAAGTTATTTTTATCTTTATATTACGTATCCTTTAAGACTTGGTAATAACGTTTTAACTTGTTTTGTAATTTTTCATAATAATTTTATAAAACAATCTGTGATTAAATGGGTTTTTAATTCTCACCACCAATCTTTCAATACAGTGATCTCGACATTCCTGAATCTCTGTTTCAATCAGTTTCTTGGTTGGCTTGAATCTTTGAATACTTTTTCAGGAAGAATGATGGGTGGTATGTATTTTCAGATTCCTTGTATAGCTGAATTTATCTGTCTGTTGTCTTCACATAGGAAGTGACATCCTGACTAAGTATAGAACTGTTGGGATTCAATCTCTTTCAAAGTACAGGAACTTTGTTTCATTGCTTTTTGGTATCTAATGTAGAAGAAAAAGTCTGAGCATGGTTTGATTCTTTTTCTTGTTGGCATTTGCTCTTGATTTTAGTTTTAGCTTGTGTGTTTGTATGATTCTTCTATTTTTATCTCTTGAAGTTCAAAATTTTCTCCAGAATACATCTAAGTACTGGTCTATATTCATTAGCTTTTTTCTTAAAACACTCACCTCCCATTGACTTCTAAAAGTAGAGAACATTAGAATACAATATTCATTTTTCTAAGAATCTCAATGACGCTGCCTTTAAACTACAGGGCAATTGACTTCCACAGAACACTGGTGGGATTCTAGCTTTAAATTATAAATGCCAACTGGAGTGTCCAAGAGTGAAATGACAAAGTCTTTGTTTTATTTTCAACAAAATAAAATAAAATAACAAAACAAAACAAACAAAAAAAGAATCTTTTTTTTTTTTGTCTTTTTCCGTGTCCGGCAACGATCGCAACCCTCAGTGTTGCCCCCGTACCGGACCGGGGACCGGCAACGGGATTGCAACCCTCGGTGTTGCTCCTGCGCCCCGCTCAGCCAGTGAGCGGGAACCGGTCTGTATGTGGGATCCGAACCCTCAGGCGGGAGCGCTGCCCTGCTTCTCAAGTGGCGCACTTATCCAGTGCGCCACTGGGCCGGCCCCCAAAAAAGAATCTTAATGACTATTGAAGTCGTTGAGATATTATACATTATTTTAAAAATGAACTAGAAAATAGTGTTTTTGAAAATTTCAATATTCGGCACATTCTCTGTGAGGAAAGCAGACGCTAACTCATCGCTCGTTTGGCCGCTGTCAACATGAGCCTCCAGAGCCGGGTTGAGAGGACCCTTCTCCCCCAAACCTGCAGCCTCACTACTCCCGGCCATGCCCGGGGAGACCCGCACCCACATCAGTGCCAGAGGCTCCGTGGGGAGAGCAAGGCGACACAGGCAATGGCGGAAATGGGTGAGAGCAGCTTGGGGGCTGGCACGCTTGTACTGCCCCGGCTTCCAGAGGTGGAGGGCGCACCCCGGGACCCCGTGAACTATGGTCATACTCCCCAGATCCGAATGTATGGGGGGCGCGGTCCCATAGCGACGGAAGTGGGGCAGGAAGTGGCTCCGCCACCCACGGAGGGCCTGGGAGCAGCCTCTACGTCCGTGGCAACAGACGGCTTTCAAGGTGGAGAGACACACTGCCCAGGTGGGGAGAAGGCCCTAGAAACCTGTGGCACCTGGAAGTCTGGGTCTGAGGTGATGGCTGGGGCGAAGGCCAAGGATGCGGAGACTGGAAAGTGCGCCGCCATCTTCTCAGTAGTGGTGGCTGAGGAGGAGAGGGCTGAGGTGGTGGTGGAGAAGCCAGCAGGTGAAGCA